CCCCCAGATTCCCGGCAAAGGAAAAGGGAAAGGGAAATTAAGGCCCAAAAAAAAAAAAGGGCACCCCCACAGCCATTTCTTGGGGGAGGCTCCCTTTTTTTGTACCCCTTGGTTCATTGGTGGATTGAAACCTTTCCTTTTTCCCCGGTGCCCCCCTTGGCAGCCCTTTCCGGAAATTTTTTTACCCGGGGGGATGGCCCCCCTTGATTCGGGGCAGGATCGGGCGGGCGCAAAAGTGTTGGTGTGGGTGCGGTGCGGAGGCCCAGCCTGGGGGGGATCCGATACCTTGGGGGTTGGGAACAATGACTCGACCCCGACGCAGGGCTGGGGATGCAAGGACCTGCGAGCTGTTTTGTTTTTCCTGGAGGACATGGGAGAGTGGAGGGGGGGGGACATGGGCAAACTTGATGGTTGTCAGAATGTCTCAGAGTGTGGTCGTGGTGATGTTGGGGGGGTTTATTTCTTTCCTTTCTGGGCTCCAAGGTGCGTCAGCTGGTTTATCCTGTAGACGGTTGCGGTCTTGTGTCCCGTGGGCTCGATAGGCGATGCAAGTATGTGCTAGTGAACGAGACGAAACGGGGAGGAGCCTCGGCACCTGGAGGAGCAAAGGTAGATTGTGAAATTGCTGTTCAACTATGGATTGGGAAGTGGTCACTGAGCCTCTGTCAGGTCGCCGCTGGTCGCCCAGTATACATTGTAGTTGAAGCCGTGTGCCTCGTAGAACGGTCCCAGCTTGACGAGACTTCCACCCGAGGCAGCTTCAAAATCGAGTTCGCCACCCTCAGCTTTGCGTACTGAGCCTAGATCGAGGCTGGGAACCTCGTCCAGAGTGTTGCTACCATAGTTAGCGGCCAGCACAACTGGGCCATACGCAAGAGCCGCCACAGATGGCTCGTCGTCGGCGGAAATGGTGTGCAGTGCCATGGGCAGAGTGATGGTGACTATGTCCTCCTCCCCCCAAGATCTTTTGATGGTGGCATAGGTCCCCGGCACAGTCTCGACTCCATCTAATGCTTGTCCATTGATGGCGATTGTCGCTCCCTTTGACCATATTGGGATCCGTAAACGCAGGTCCCAATCGCCTCCCCCCTTGACCGTCAAGGTCGACGTTTCTTGCAGTGGAAAATCCGTCTCCTGGAGTACGGTGACCTTTCTCTGTGTCCAATTCAACCTCGATGGTGCGTACAAATTGACATAAAGAGAAGACTCGTCGTAGAAGTAGATGGAGTCCATCAGCTTTGTGTTGGTCTCCAGTGCGGTACCCTGACAACACCACGCCGTGCCATAGTCAGTACTCCATGTACCTCCACCCCAGGCAGGCCCAACGCCTCGATGGCCGCCAGGGTTGAGAGACGTAAAGTAGGTGACATGACCATGAGCACTCGAGGGGTCTTGTTGTCCAATGGCGTGGTTGATGAGGGCTTGCTCATAAAAGTCAAAGTACTTCGAGTTGCTGGGGTCCATGACCCAGAGCTCGCGGGTCAGTTTAAGCATGTTGTACGTGTTACACGCCTCGGCTGTGTCCTCGTCCAAGTAGCTGGCAATCGCGTTCGGGGGCCTGAAGTGTTCAGACTGACTGTTGGCACCAATGGCATACGTGTGGGCCTGCACAGTAATGTTCCAGGCATTGTGGGCAATGTCGCTGTATCGTGTTGTCCCTGTGGCCTTGTACTCGCGAGCTGCCCCAATCCACTTCGGCACCTGCGTATTGGCGTGCAGCCCGTTCAGGCTATCTCGGTTGCCTGCCAGGGGGTCGAAGACGGATGCATGATCGAACCGCTGAGCAACGGTGAGCCAGCGTTCGTCGCCTGTCTGGTGGAAGATGTCGGCCATGACTTCGTTCATCCCACCAAACTCGGTCGACATCATGGTCTGCATCTGGCTATAGCTCAATTTTCCGGTACGCAGGTCTACCCACCCAGCCATGCCAAGTAGGACATCTCGTGCTGTTTCGTCACCTATGTGCCGCCAGACATCTAGGAGCCCGGCCATGGTTTTGTGGATGGAGTAGTACGGGACATTGCCGTTGCTCAAAGTCCGCTTCTCTACAGCCTCGATCTCTGATTCGGGAAACCCAGACAGATAGCCTGGATTGAATCCCGCCTTGTCATTGTTGCCTTGGCATTTGGCCAGTTCGGTCGCGAAATAGCTTGCCCTGTCGCGGCACGCCTCGTCGCGAAGGACAGCCCAACAGTAGGACCAGGCGTTCAAGAAGTGCCCTTGGAAGTGGGAGCGGAATGGAAAGTCAGGAGCATCCCAGCCACCGTTGGGTTGCGCGCCCTGCAGAGGAAGCCCATGAGTTTGCCGAAAGACATAAAGCAGGCGGTCGACGTCAACAAATTTGATGTAGTTAAGTGTCCGATCTTGATTCTCTAGCCATCTGCCTGGGTTCAAGGAAACTTGGCTCATGTCGAACGCAAAGGCTGAGACACCAATCTCGGTGCTCGCTGGCGGAATAGCCTGGCCATTGACATTTGACGACGCGGCGGATAGCGTCAATGCCAAGGCCAAGAGACTGGAAAGTCTGTAACAACGTTCGGAGACTAATGAGGACAGCATTGTGTTTGTTGTAGCTGAGGGCGAATTTGACAGAACTGCCGAAGTCTTTGGGTCGTAGGTTAACTAGCGGAGCGAAGCAAAAGCGGCCATATTTATACTTGCGCAGTCGCCGGGCTTCTTTCTTCTCTCTCGGGGTGTACAATCATGAAGTGGAAATCCGGGGAGCTGGGGTCGTATTCACTATTCGTTTAGGTCGATCTCCGAGCGGCATGCCTTCCAACTGGTGCGCATGGGCGGCAATCAAGTGAAGCTACCCCGCGTATGGGGTGACGATCCCTAGATCTCCTGCGGAATTGGGGTTGGCCTGGGTGAAAGACTGTCGGCATCAAAGACCGGATCCGCTCAAGAAGGTTGATACCCGAATTTTGAGAGGCTTCTTGCGTGTTTGTCATTGCCGTAGGGTCACATTGAACATGTAAATCGCTTGTTCCGACGAAAGCAATAGCTTTGCCGCTCCAATACGAGCCAGGCAAGGATCATGACGAGCATTACCATGCAGCCGAACCAGTACTGTGCAGCCCTGTTCGTTAGTTTGCACCCATAGATCCCATAGATACCAAGAAAATGGTGTGTAATTTTTGTCGGATTGCCAGAACTCCAGTTTCATGCAATACACCTCATCAGCGCCAGACTAATACATGCGAAAGAAAGTTTTCCTGCCGAAAGATAATGCCCACGTAAAAATACAAAAAGGGTTTGCCATGATGGGTTTATGACTTTGATCTGGGCTTCGGGCGCCCCTTGTCGTCAGATCGTGCTTTCTCGCGTTCCAAAAGAAGAGTCAACTGGCTTCTCGATCGGGCCAGCGTACCGACGGGGCCGAACTCGGTATGGTAGGCATCAGCAGAGAGGTGGTAGAGGGGTTCCTCGCCAGGTAGGGGCTGCTGATGTCGTGATTGAGGGCGCCAATGGCTTGGAGAGCAACAATGTCCGGGTTCGTCTGCGATTCTCGAGGAGCTGTCCATTTGCGGCGATATTCGACGTGACTGCCGTAGCATTTGAGAGCAGCCCATTATGACGCGGTACGG